ACCACGTGTAGGTGACACCCCACAACCCCCTTTTCCCCCCCAACCCCCGACCCGGGGCCACCCGGGGGTTACGGTGGGGCCGAAGCCGACAGTCGGTTCCCTCCCGGCAGCGCGTGGGCGCCTTAATTAGCCCTAATTAAGAGCTGGTTAATGAGAGGCGGCCGCTAACGAGGCCCCCCCCCCCACCGCGAAAACCAGTCGGGCCAAGCGGCCCAGAAGCAGCACCGCCCTGTTTACACCCCAAAAACGAGGAGAAGGGGGGGGGAAGGTGGAGGAGGAGGAGGCCACGCCCCTCCCACCTCATGGCCACGCCCACCGCATGGCCACACCCCCCACGTCATGGACCTGAAGCTCCGCCCCAGCCCACGTGCAAGACACAGAAGGGGTGATGGCGCCCCCTGGTGCGAGCGGGAACGCGTGGGGGAAAGGGGGTCGTGGGCACAGGGACACGGGACACGCGTGTCACGGAGCTACGGACACGTGTGGATGCGTGTCGTAGGCGTGTGGACGTGTGGCACGGACGTACGGACACGTGGAGGTGTGGGCGTGTGTGGTGGACGTGGGGACGTGGGGACGTGGACATGTGTCATGGACATATGGAGACGTGGACATGTGTTGTGGACGCGTGGACACATGGACACATGTCGTAGGCGTGTTTACATGTGTTTTGGACCTGTGGGCACGTGTCATGGACGTGTGGGCGTGTGTGGTGGACGTGGGGACGTGGGGACATGGACATGTGTCATGGCTGTATGGACATGTGGACATGTGTCATGGACATATGGACACATGTTGTGGACGTGTGGACACATGGACGTGTGTCGTAGGCGTGTGGACATGTGTTTTGGACCTATGGGCGTGTGTCATGGACGTGTGGACGTGTGTTGTTGACGTGTGTCACGGACGTACGGACACGTGGAGGTGTGGGCGTGTGTGGTGGACGTGGGGACATGGACATGTGTCATGGCCGTATGGACATGTGGACACGTGTCATGGACATACAGCCACGTGGACATGTGTCGTAGGCGTGTGGACATGTGTTTTGGACCCATGAGCGCGTGTCATGGACGTGTGGACGTGTGTTGTTGACGTGTGTCATGGACATAGAGACACGTGGACGTGTGGATGTGTGGACATGGCCACGTGTCATGGACGTGTGGACATGTGTCATGGACACATGGAGACGTGGACACGTGTTGTGGATGTGTGGACACATGGACATGTGTCATGGCCGTATGGACATGTGGACACGTGTCATGGACATACAGCCACGTGGACATGTGTCGTAGGCGTGTGGACATGTGTTTTGGACCCATGAGCGCGTGTCATGGACGTGTGGACGTGTGTTGTTGACGTGTGTCATGGACATAGAGACACGTGGACGTGTGGATGTGTGGACATGGCCACGTGTCATGGACGTGTGGACATGTGTCATGGACACATGGAGACGTGGACACGTGTTGTGGATGTGTGGACACATGGACATGTGTCGTAGGCGTGTTTACATGTGTTTTGGACCTATGGGCGCGTGTCATGGACGTGTGGACGTGTGGTGTGGACATGGGGACACGGGGACACGGACATGTGTCATGGCCGTATGGACACGTGTTGTGGACGTGTGGACACGTGGACATGTGTCATGGACAAACAGCCACGTGGACGTGTGTCGTAGGCGTGTGGACGTGTGTGTTGGACCTATGGGCACGTGTCATGGACGTGTGGACGTGTGGTGTGGACATGGGGACATGGACATGGGGAGATGGACGTGTGTCATGGACATACGTGTGGACACGTGTTGTGGACGTGTGGACGTGTGGTGTGGACATGGGGACATGGACATGGGGAGATGGACGTGTGTCATGGACATACGTGTGGACACGTGTTGTGGACGTGTGGACACGTGGACATGTGTCATGGACAAACAGCCACGTGGACGTGTGTCGTAGGCGTGTGGACGTGTGTGTTGGACCTATGGGCACGTGTCATGGACGTGTGGACGTGTGGTGTGGACATGGGGACATGGACATGGGGAGATGGACGTGTGTCATGGACATACGTGTGGACACGTGTTGTGGACGTGTGGACACGTGTCATGGACCTATGGCCACGTGGACACGTGTTGTGGGCGTGTTTCATGGAGCTATGGACATGTGGACATCTTGACGTCCCACCATCGATGACATCACAACCAACCAGCCAATCAACTCGTCATTCCCCAACCCTCTTGACCTCCCACCATCGATGACATCACAACCAACTGCCCAATCATCTCGACTTCCCCAACCCATGTGACCACCCCATCATTGATGACATCACAACCATCCCTCTTGACCTCCCACTATCGATGACATCACAACCGACCGCCCAATCACCTTGTCTTCTCCAACCCTCTTGACCACCCACCATCGATGACATCACAACCAACCAGCCAATCACCTTGTCTTCTCCAACCCACGTGACCACCCACCATCGATGACATCACAACCAACCGCCCAATCCCCTTGTCTTCCCCAACCCACGTGACCCCCCACCATCGATGACGTCACACCCAACCCTCTCGACCTCCCACCGTCGACGACATCATGACCCACCGCCCAAACCTTGTCTTCTCCAACCCACGTGACCACCCACCATCGATGACATCACAACCAACCAGCCAATCAACTCGTCATTCCCCAACCCTCTTGACCTCCCACCATCGATGACATCACAACCAACTGCCCAATCATCTCGACTTCCCCAACCCATGTGACCACCCCATCATTGATGACATCACAACCATCCCTCTTGACCTCCCACTATCGATGACATCACAACCGACCGCCCAATCACCTTGTCTTCTCCAACCCTCTTGACCACCCACCATCGATGACGTCACAACCAACTGCCCAATCACCTTGGCTTCCCCAGGCCACGTGACCTCCCACCATCGATGACATCACAACCAACTGCCCAATCATCTCGACTTCCCCAACCCATGTGACCACCCCATCATTGATGACATCACAACCATCCCTCTTGACCTCCCACTATCGATGACATCACAACCGACCGCCCAATCACCTTGTCTTCTCCAACCCTCTTGACCACCCACCATCGATGACATCCCAACCAACCAGCCAATCACCTTGTC